AGAGTCAACTGCAACTGTGTGCTCGTCCGAACACCGATACAACCTACGTCCTCGTCCAGACGGGAGAGGTACCTCCACAACAGTTGTTCCTTCTTCCATCACCGTTACCCTTCCTCCCACATTCTCATCCACTTCCACCATTCTACCACAAATAGTAGCCTTCCTCACTCAACAACAGAACCACGACTATCCAACTCCCATCAGAACCCTCTTCGCACGAGCCGCTTTTGAAAAGTCAACACCGTGGACGAATTCCATCACAGACCACAAGTTACAACCACGCAAATTCAGTCAGAACACTTTGATGAAAGGATGCTTCCAAGCCCCTCAATTTCACGGCTATGCTCCCAAATCATTGCTGGAAGAAACATCTACCGATTTCCTTCCGCAAAAAAATTACACACGCACAAGACGACGAAGATGATGATGACGGCGACGACGACGGAAATCGAAGTCAGCCTTGGCAATACAAGAAGAAGCAAACAATAATGACGACGATCACCCTTCTAGTGGCAGGGAAATAGGGAATCTTCTATAGCCATCACAGCATGCATGTTATCAAAAATGTTTTGGAACTGTTTATCATATAGTTTTGTTTAAAATGATCTGGCTGTTTGCTACGTTTCTTGTATCACTACAGTATAAAGAAGTGATGCAGTGAGGTAGGGTTCAAATAATCAGCGCATTCGTCTCCTGCCTGATAAGCCACCCTTACTATATATAAAGCGCTCGCTCCTCTCTGTCCTTCTGTCTGTCTGTTTGCACGGAAATTCATAACTCCTGCCCCCGTGTACCTGGAACGTTCAAATTTGGTAGGAGCACAGGCGGCAGAATGGGAACACCTATGGTGGTAGGAAGAAATGTGACATGTGGGATGTGACAGGGTCGAACTGATAACAAGTGATAAGAGCTGGTAGCTGAGGCTCCAGAAAGCAAGACCCAACGGACCCAAGATCCTCTACGAAATAGAACCTCGACGGCGAAATCAGTCGGTGTTAAACTTTAGTGTGTTTCATCAGATAAGACGGGATAGTAAGGTAGATTGACAAAAAGTTAGTGGTAAGTGCAGTGTTAGGGACCGATTGAAGCTTCCTTATTATGAAAGAGAAGGAAGTTCATTTCATTTATTGCTGTAATATTATGACCTTTATCCAACAAGGTTTGTGACTCAATGAGGAGCCGCGGTTCATCCTTGCTTTGATATTATTCGCTACAAAACTTATCCAACCACTAATAATCTACGAGCCTCTACTGATGATATGTCCTTAGAGGAAAAGCTTCATTGATAACATACAAATATACTTGCAGTCTACTTCTCCTTGAGATATATGTGAAGAGTTACTACGCCTTTTTTCAGGAGACTTTGCTCATAAAGATGATGAGCACATCCAATTGTTAGAAGCGATAAAATTAGCTTTTTTCTTTCTTACGGAGTAAAGTTCTGTGAGCTAATGATTAGAGTATCTTCTATGTCGAGCTTTGCTTTTGACTACATAAACGCAGCACTGCGTATTCAAATCAATTCATTGATTAATTGATATGATGCGCGCGTTAGCGTGCATAGCTCAACTGGTGGCATATAAGCCATTAAGAAGGCGAGGATAAGCGGGGTCACGGTAGTAACGGATAGAGCACGGTGGCCTGAAAGCACAAGTACGGGTTCGAGTCTCGTCCGAGACTGAAGTTTTGTGCACAACTCGCCAATCTTGTGATACTGCTGAGCATTTATTTCTATGCTACCCTGTGCTCTGCTGCATACACTATATGATAACCAAGACCTGTGCGCAATTGAATCGAGAAACAATGAAAAAACACATATTAAGATTGTCGAGCGGAGTTTTAGACATCACCGCCCAGAATGATGGAAGGCAAAGCTGCTTCGCTTGATATATTTCTGATCTCCATTCACATAGCTATGTGCTTTAGCCTCTGAAACCTCATTTGCAGAGTTAGACTTGAACCTATGTTGAGTCAGAACAAAAAGCGAACTACTATGCCATAAGAAGTTGGTGAATTGAGTACAGATGCCGCAGCTATGGCCAAGGGGACGAATCGCTTTAGAATCGCTTTTCTTGGCTGCTCTATCCACCATTTGTTATCTAACGACTCCAAGGTTTGCAACTCTACTACTCGCTTCATACCCGGTAAGTTATTTCAATCCCATTGTCACTATCTAGTCAATTGTTTTGAAAACAATCGCATATAGATCAGTTGTTCAGTCGTTTTCAGACAAATATTAGGACTAGAGTTTTTGTTGCTCTGAGTTTTCAAGTCCAAAACTGAACTTTTTTCTTCACTGATGACCTTCCTGAAGAGAGTAGTGAGCCTATACTGAGATGAAGGACGACCTCTTGCTTCACAGATAGATTGGTTCACAACTAACACCTGATTTTTCCAATTTGATTCGTAAGTTCAATTTCCTTGCATCTGTATCAAGAAAAAGGATGTGTTCTTGAGATCGTACAGGTGGCGAGTTAAGTAGTAGTAGTTAGTTACAAGTAATCGAAAATAGCTGATCGAAAATGATGTTGGCCATTACGTCTTACATCTTGTGTTGAGAAGCAAAGGTTCCTACTAGACTGCATCTTTCTCAATGTTTACGAGGCTTTGTCATTACAGTGTGCTGTGTGGGTTGCAATATGTAATACTAAGGAAGTCAAGAAACTCGTACAGAGGTTCGATTGAAAAATGTCCAGGTTACAGGGTCTGAAAGTGATGATAGGCTGTGGAGTCTGATGGTGGAAAACCAACTTATTTAATAGTTACACTGCTCACTTGATCTGAAATATAAAAGCTAACTTGATCGGGACAATGATTTGAGCCGGAAATTTGTGAAAACGACAAAGTTGACAAGGACTAGTGACAACAAAATCAATTTTGGCGAAAACTTCGTGGCAGCGCTAAGGACCAGAACCTGGGT